TTATCTCTCCATATGGCCATTTACCATAATTTATGCCGTAAAATTCAGAACTCTGTTAGGGTCGCTAAAGGAGGAACGCCCAAGGCCAAAAGGGGTAAAGAATTATGAATATATTAGGTCATCTGGAAACCAAATGGTTGAGCCCCAAAATGCCAATAGCACCCAGGAACAGGGAGTGGGAGATTTTAAAGGACTCTAGGTAGCTTTTTCTGAGAAGAGAATTCTCTATCCGAGTCCTAAGGAGAAAGATAATGGTCTTAGCAAGTGGATTGTGGTCTTAGCAAGTGCTGAGCAAAAGGGAATGTTGGTTGTGAAGTGGAGTAAAGTTCAGTTGCCAGGGTAGGGTTATCCATTCAATTATTTGATCAAACCTATTCCCGCTTCTTTTTTGTTTTATGGAATAGGGATGAAAGTCATATCTTTTCATAATTATTTCCTGCTGAGTGGGGATGTCAAGATCACAGGGGAATGGACTTGTTTATAGTTTTATTGATTTCAGAGAGGAAAGGAGAAAGAGAAACATCAATGATGAGAGAGAATCACTGATTGGCTGCCTCCTGCAAGCCCCCTACTGGGAAATGAGCCTGCAACCTGGGCATGTGCCCTTCACTGGAATCTAACCTCGGACCCTTCAGTCCACAGGCTGACACTCTATCCACCAAGCCAAACTGGCTAGGACAGGGGTATGGGCTTTGATGGTAGTCAACTGGATGAGGGGTTGCAGCAGCATAATTTCCCCAAGAGACTGGCTGGTGAAGGCTGGAGAGTGTCCTGTTGAGTGACTGGGAGGTAAAAGCTGGTCCTGAGGCTGCCACAGTGTCACTTGTCTGGTTTTGCTGCTTTTCTGGGCCTGGAGCTGAAATACAACTGAGACCTAGATGTTGTCTTTAGGGAGGAAAAGATCAGGGGTCTAAGCTGCCTAACCTGGTAGAGACAAACCGTTTTATAAATTTTATTATTGAGGCAAAAGCTAGAAGAACAAGAATTATGGTCTGGTGGAAGGAAAGAAACATTAGTTTGGATGGTTGTAGTCTACTATACCAAAATGAGGCTTATTCTCTTAGTTTCAATTATCGTTGGTTTAGGAAGATAGACCTTACTAGATGGCTGTGGACTGCTTGGCGTCTGGATTTTCTAGATGGTTGCAACTGCTTTTTACTATCTCAGTTTCCCTATTCTGCTTGTCCTGGCTCACTGGCCTGTGTCATTTATATAACTTCCTTTTAACATTTCTCCCTACAAACCTTCTATAACTTTCACAAACCTTCTTACAACTTTCACAAACATTCTCTGAGGCCTTCTTTTGGGCTTTAGCCTTGGCCTGATCTCACCTTTGTTTTTGGATTTGGGTCTCCTCGTCTCTATTATTAAAGACATTTAAGGCCAGGATAACAGGGTCTTTTTGTGAACCTGTGTCTATGTTTGAAATTTGCGGCATATGTTGGGGGCTTATTGGGATATAAAATGAGTGTTCACAAGAAGGATTCCCTCTGGGGAGGTGGGGTCCTTTTTGAGTCTGGCAATGAGGCAGGTGATTATATGGCTGTGGAGGCAGTGCCCTGGAGAATTAACCTGATAGGCCAATCTCAGGTCAGTTTGGGGGACCATGTCAGCATCCTCTCTATGGAGGGCATCGGCATGGCCGTAAGCTGCTAGCCAGACATGCTCCTTCTCTTCTGGGGTGAGAGAGGACAGGATGACACAGATGTCATGCCAGATCAGGTCATGTACTGGGTCAGGTACTCAAATTCCTTAGTAAAGGTAGTGGGGTCGGTGGAAAAATACCTGAGATGCCTCTCAGTCTGTTTGAGGTTGGACATGGAAAATGAGATGTGTACCTGGCCAAACTCTCGGCCCTGGCCACCTCTCAGAAGGGCAGGACGGGGGGCTGGAGGCTGGGTTATCTGGGAACAAGTAAGAGTGGGGCTTGGTAAGGAGGAGAGAGAAGGGTAATTGCAGAGTGTAAAGAAGGCCTGGGTGTAGGGGATCTCTGACAACTTCCCATTGCAGTGACAGAAATTAAGTCCTGGAGAAGGTTAAAAATCTTGGGCCAGTGTGAATCATTGTCTAATTTATCTTGTGGATAAGGTGCTTTTCCAGACCTCCATGGAAAGGCTGAGTGTGTTCAGATATGGAGGAGACATGCCAGAGGAGTGGTTTTTGGGGGGATGGAAAAAAATTCCCTGTGGTGTAAATTAGGAAGAGGAGGTAAGCAACAAAGGGAGACCCGGGGAGCAATACTAGAGGGAGGGCATCCCCACCATCTAGTCAGGCTCTGGAGAGAGGAGGACAGTCTAACCCAGCCGTGGGCAAACTACGGCCCGCGGGCCGGATCCGGCCCGTTTGAAATGAATAAAACTAAAAAAAAAAAAGACCGTACCCTTTTATGTAATGATGTTTACTTTGAATTTATATTAGTTCACACAAACACTCCATCCATGCTTTTGTTCCGGCCCTCCGGTCCAGTTTAAGAACCCATTGTGGCCCTCGAGTCAAAAAGTTTGCCCACCCCTGGATCCATGTGGCAGGCATCCCTTGTGACAAGGAAGACTGTGGAACCTGGTCCCAGGGCCGAAGCCAAACTGAAGAGGATTTCTGACCTAGTGCTAGGTCTTTTGTCTGAGATGACAACAAATCAAAAATACGGAGGGGTGATCCAATTGTCACCTCCCGGAGATGAAATGAACTGGGGTTGAGTGGGGGGTCAGCAATGGGAAGGAGTGGTCCCCAATCTGGCACCCTTCTTGGCTGGTTGGGAGGGAGGCCTAATCAAGGCTGGAAATCATGTCACCCAAGTAGGATTTGGAGGTAAGCCCAGGTCGAGCTGCCACTGCCTATTGCTCTCCAAGTAGCAAACTCAGGGTGATTAAAGCTGGGGCGATGGCTCCCCTTCCCCATGGATCCCTCCCAGGTTTTGGCACCAAATGTTAGGGTCGCTGAAGGAGGAACACATGAGGCCAAAAGGGGTAAAGAATTATGAATTTGGTCATCTGGAAAACCAGATGGGCTGAGCCCCAAAATGGTGCCAGCCCCAATATGGTGCCAGACCCCAGGGGCAGGGAGTCCGAGGTTTTAAAGGACTCTAGGCGGGCTTTTTCTGGGCAGAAAATTCTCTGGGCAGGTCGTAAGGAGAAAGATAATGGTCTTAGCAAGTGGAATGTGGTCTTAGCAAGTGCTGAGCAAAAGGGAATGTTGGTGTAAAGGTCAGTTGCCAGGGGAGGGAGTATCCATTCAATTATTTGATCAAACTTAACACTCTGGAGGTGGCACTGAAGGACACAAAAGGGGAAGCTTCCCTGGAACACCACTGACCACCCTCTCCAGCTCCTTTCAGACATAGCATAGTGGCCTCCACCTTTTTCTGAGAAACAGCAGGGTCTCCTCAGATGGGCGGGTCAGGAATTGCAGTGTGCATCAGAATTGTCCAGGTGCCTGTTAAAGTGCGGCTTGTTTAAAGGTCAATTTTTAAAATTATTCATTTTAGAGAGAGAGAAACATTTACTTATTATTCCACTTGTCTATGCATTAATTGGTTGATTCTTGTCTGTGCCCTGACCAGGGATGGAACCTGTAATGTTGGTTTATGGGGATGAGACTCTAATCAACTGAGTGCCCGGACAGGGCAGAAATGTTGCTTTTTGTGAGCCACGTCGGAGACAGTTCCAGCAGGCCTGCTCTGTATTCTGGGCCTCTGCATTTTTGCCAGCTCCTGGGTAATTTGGTGAAGGTCTGCACTAGACTGAAAAACAGCCCTAGAGCCCAGCCTGCTTTGGGGACTGGTGCTCACAGCCCCCCAGTACAATGACCGAGGCCACTGCCGGGGGACGTGACTGGTCCCCTGCACGGGGAGGTGAGCATTGACAACCGCGAACACCTGAGTGGCAACTCCCAGTCTGGATGCAGCCCTAGAGCCTCCACTGCGTGACTGTCACCACCAGTCCCCTCTCCGGAATCGCCCAGCTCTCTTCCCAGCACGCACAGGGAGTCCGAGGTTTTAAAGGACTCTAGGCGGGCTTTTTCTGGGCAGAAAATTCTCTGGGCAGGTCGTAAGGAGAAAGATAATGGTCTTAGCAAGTGGAATGTGGTCTTAGCAAGTGCTGAGCAAAAGGGAATGTTGGTGTAAAGGTCAGTTGCCAGGGGAGGGAGTATCCATTCAATTATTTGATCAAACTTAACACTCTGGAGGTGGCACTGAAGGACACAAAAGGGGAAGCTTCCCTGGAACACCACTGACCACCCTCTCCAGCTCCTTTCAGACATAGCATAGTGGCCTCCACCTTTTTCTGAGAAACAGCAGGGTCTCCTCAGATGGGCGGGTCAGGAATTGCAGTGTGCATCAGAATTGTCCAGGTGCCTGTTAAAGTGCGGCTTGTTTAAAGGTCAATTTTTTAAATTATTCATTTTAGAGAGAGAGAAACATTTACTTATTATTCCACTTGTCTATGCATTAATTGGTTGATTCTTGTCTGTGCCCTGACCAGGGATGGAACCTGTAATGTTGGTTTATGGGGATGAGACTCTAATCAACTGAGTGCCCGGACAGGGCAGAAATGTTGCTTTTTGTGAGCCACGTCGGAGACAGTTCCAGCAGGCCTGCTCTGTATTCTGGGCCTCTGCATTTTTGCCAGCTCCTGGGTAATTTGGTGAAGGTCTGCACTAGACTGAAAAACAGCCCTAGAGCCCAGCCTGCTTTGGGGACTGGTGCTCACAGCCCCCCAGTACAATGACCGAGGCCACTGCCGGGGGACGTGACTGGTCCCCTGCACGGGGAGGTGAGCATTGACAACCGCGAACACCTGAGTGGCAACTCCCAGTCTGGATGCAGCCCTAGAGCCTCCACTGCGTGACTGTCACCACCAGTCCCCTCTCCGGAATCGCCCAGCTCTCTTCCCAGCACGCACCGCGGGGCCTGTAGAGCCCAGAGCATCCAATCGGCGTTGGGTTTGTTGCCTGGTGCCCTCCGTCACGCGCTGATTGGCCGGTGCGGTGACGTCCTCAGCTCGCGGTCCGGCCTTGCATCACCTCGGTCACCGGGCGCCTCGTGTGCAGTTCTTCACTGGCTCCCGTCGTGGCCCTCAGGTACGGCGCGTCGGGAACATAGTGAACACAGTTTGGTGGGGTTTTTGAATGTTTTTACTGGGCTGTCGCTTAGTTGCGCGCATATCTAGTTCCAAGGAAAAGATTGGGAGGGTCAGCGGGGCTGAAGACCTGGGAACCGGCCGAGATTGCAGCCCTGGGAGCTCCCCTTCCTAGGGGCGTGGCGGGAACCCGGACCGGGGGGCGGGGAGGGGCGGCCTTGGTGGGACGGAGCTTGCCGAGGAGCAGGCGGCGGGCGCGGTTAGGAATTACTGGGAAGTCGGGGTCTCCCTGAGAACCACGAGCGGCGTGCGGGCGGGGCCGGGTAGCGGGCGGACCTGCCGTGGGCTTGCGGGTGGGAGGAGGCGGCTTCTCCGAGCTGCGATGGGGTTGGGGCCTTGAACTAATCGGTAGGAGTTGAGGTCTTGGTGTTTGGCATAATAATGCAGTGATTCTTAATCTTTTGCGCAGTAGTAGCTCCCTACAAAATGCTATCAAAGTTATGAGCCATCTTCATCAGTCTCGTTTACTCAAAAAAAGAAAAAAAAGGGTAAGCCCTGGCCGGTGGGCCAACGGTTACAGCATCGGCCCGGGGACCTAAGCGTTGCGCGTTGACACTCCTGGTCGAGGGCACTTACCTCGGTTGCAGTTCCTACCCCGCCCCGGCTGGGCTGCCCATGTTTCCCTCTCTCTGTCTCTCTCTTCCCCTCCCTTCCACTTTCTCTAGAAATCAATGGAAAGATATCCTCGGGCGAGGATTTAAAAAAAAAAGTTCAGCTGCGTATTCCTGACTGGTCAGAACAGCTGCAGAGCATTGACGCTCACACTGCCATGTGCGCGCGAATCCCGAGGTCTTGGTGAGATGTAGGTGCTGACTCCCCGTTCAGAGGGGGCTGGCCAGCTACTCCCACAGCCCCCGCAGGCCTGGCAGTCACAGGGCCAGCCGTGGGGGCATTGGAAGCGACGAAATAAACGTGTTGGTAGCTGAAGATCTAGTCTTCCAGTGCGATCCCGAAATGGTCCTGAAATACGGTACTGAACGAGTAGGACCTTGAAAGGCTGGAGGTGTAACAAGAGCAGAAGGTCCAAAATGCCCCTAACTTCTATTTAAGCCATTTAATGGCACACTCCACTCAGAAATGGACAGTAAATTAAACGGCCACTGGTACTTCTCTTACTTTTTTCCTATATAAAACTGTTGCATCTCAAAAATAATGGAAAGAAAAAATCTCTTGTAACAAACTTTTTGTTTTGATGACATGGCTCAGTCTCTGTGATTAGGCTTTGGTGTTTTCAGAATTTCTTGTTAGAAACCCCAGACTTCGATAGTTATTGAATTGTTAAGGTTTTCCGTCTTCTCTGTTGTTTTCTCGTTATCAGCTATCCTGTCCCCTTCTAATCTGCTGTTGGCTTGGAAATCTGGTCACCATCCTAGTTAGGATTATAAAGTAAGACTACATGGGCCTTGAGGGGGAACGGACGTGAGGATACTCAACCAGATAGTTAAGCCCTGGGATGGTCAAGGTTTCTACATGAGATTATTAGCAAAATTCTTATAAGGACACTTTTAAGACCTCTCACTAGAGACTGAATCAGATAACTATAAGGTTTGTCCTGTCCAAAAACTACAAGCAATAAAAAGGATAAAATAGAAAATTGGAATGAGCTGGTAATTATTTGAATGTGAGATTCTCATCTTTTTAGCTTTCAAATTTTTTAGGTCTCATTCTTCAATAGTAAGTTACTGTGATTGAAGTTTAACAAATGAGGTTAAAGAGATGAGGTTATTTCAACAGAAGTGCTTTCTGTCTTGTGATTGTAGGTACTAATTCTTACTATTTTTAAAAATATATATTTATTGATTTTAGAGAGGAAGGAAGAGAGAGAGAGAAACATCAATGAGAGAGAATCATTGATCGGCTCCTCCTGCTGAGGACCACAACCCCGGGCATATGCCCTTGAACAGAATCAAACCTGGAACTCTTCAGTCCACAGGCTGATGCTCTATCCCTGTGCCAAACCTGCTAATTCTTACCTATTTTTGAGATTCTTAAAATTATTATTATTGAATTTATATTGTCATTAGATAGAATTCCCAAGATTTTTTTTGTTTACTTTTAAAAGCATATTGTCTACAATTACTAATGTTACATTGTAGGTGAAAAATTGGTGAATAATGTGATTTGGACACAAGTTTTGCAGTAATTTAAAAATACCATGTATCACCATCCCCAAGAAATGGAAACAAGAAACTCAACATTCTTATCCTACCCCCAGGCATCAAGTCATTACCCAGTCATATTTATTTCTCCTTCAAAATAAAACTTGACTCTACCTTGTTAAAAAATAACCAAAAAACCTATGTAATAAAAGGCTAATATGCAAATCAACTGAATGGCTTAATGACCAGTCGCTATGACACACACTGACCACCAGGGGGCAGCACTCAACTCAGGAGCTGCCCCCTGGTGGTCAGTGCAGCAGAAGCATGGCTTATAGCTGGTGAGCCTGGTGAGCGCAGGGGTGGTGGTGGGAGCCTTTCCCGCCTCCGCTGCAGCGCTAAGGGTGTCTGACTGTGGGGGGAGCAGGCCTAAGCCATCAGTCGGACATCCCCTGAGGTCTCCCGGACTGCGAGAGCGTGCAGGCCGGGCTGAGCCCCCCCCCCCCCCCCGCATGAATTTCGTGGACTGGGCCTCTAATAAATATCCCTGTTCTACACTGTATATACAAATAACTGGATCAATGACCTAAATATTGGAGCTAAAAATTAACAACCTTGTTTAAGATAGTGGTTTCTTTCTCTTTTTATTTTTTCTATTAAAATGTTTTTATTGATTTTCAGAGAGAAAAGAAGGGAGATGGAGAGAGAGATAGGAATATCGATGAGAGAGAAGCACCAATGGGCTGCCTCCTCCATGCCCCCCTAACTGAAAACATTAGGTCCACAGAAAAACATATATTCATTTTCATAGCATTCTTCATAATAGCCAAAAAGTGGAAAGAGTCCTAATGAATGGGTAAACAAAACATGGCATGTTGATACAATGAAATATTCAGTATAGAAAATAATGATATATTATTATAATATATCATCAGCCTGGATGAGGGGATGATGGCTGTTTGCAGCTGGTCACACCCCCTTCAGGGTGGGGGTCCCCACTGGGGTGCCTGGCCAGCCTGGATGAGGGGATGATGGCTGTTTGCAGCTGGTCACACCCCCTTCAGGGTGGGGGTCCCCACTGGGGTGCCTGGCCAGCCTGGATGAGGGGATGATGGCTGTTTGCAGCTGGTCACACCCCCTTCAGGGTGGGGGTCCCCACTGGGGTGCCTGGCCAGCCTGGATGAGGGGATGATGGCTGTTTGCAGCTGGTCACACCCCCTTCAGGGTGGGGGTCCCCACTGGGGTGCCTGGCCAGCCTGGATGAGGGGATGATGGCTGTTTGCAGCTGGTCACACCCCCTTCAGGGTGGGGGTCCCCACTGGGGTGCCTGGCCAGCCTGGATGAGGGGATGATGGCTGTTTGCAGCTGGTCACACCCCCTTCAGGGTGGGGGTCCCCACTGGGGTGCCTGGCCAGCCTGGATGAGGGGATGATGGCTGTTTGCAGCTGGTCACACCCCCTTCAGGGTGGGGGTCCCCACTGGGGTGCCTGGCCAGCCTGGATGAGGGGATGATGGCTGTTTGCAGCTGGTCACACCCCCTTCAGGGTGGGGGTCCCCACTGGGGTGCCTGGCCAGCCTGGATGAGGGGATGATGGCTGTTTGCAGCTGGTCACACCCCCTTCAGGGTGGGGGTCCCCACTGGGGTGCCTGGCCAGCCTGGATGAGGGGATGATGGCTGTTTGCAGCTGGTCACACCCCCTTCAGGGTGGGGGTCCCCACTGGGGTGCCTGGCCAGCCTGGATGAGGGGATGATGGCTGTTTGCAGCTGGTCACACCCCCTTCAGGGTGGGGGTCCCCACTGGGGTGCCTGGCCAGCCTGGATGAGGGGATGATGGCTGTTTGCAGCTGGTCACACCCCCTTCAGGGTGGGGGTCCCCACTGGGGTGCCTGGCCAGCCTGGATGAGGGGATGATGGCTGTTTGCAGCTGGTCACACCCCCTTCAGGGTGGGGGTCCCCACTGGGGTGCCTGGCCAGCCTGGATGAGGGGATGATGGCTGTTTGCAGCTGGTCACACCCCCTTCAGGGTGGGGGTCCCCACTGGGGTGCCTGGCCAGCCTGGATGAGGGGATGATTGCTGTTTGCCGCTGGTCACACCCCCTTCAGGGTGGGGGTCCCCACTGGGGTGCCTGGCCAGTCTGGGTGAGGGGCTGAGGGCTGCTTTCAGGCTGGCGGTTGTTGACTGAAGCTCCCAACCGCTCCTTTTTTTTCTCTTTTTTTATTTTATTCTGGGCCAGCTTTAGCTCTGGCTCTAGCTCTGAGGCTTCGTATCTGGTTTGTTTGCCGTTCTATAATCGAAACAATGTATAACTTCAGCTCTGAGATCCCGGCAGGCTGAAAGCTGGTTTCTGGGGTTTTGTTTAGCTTCTTATTTGCAACATAGTACATAGTTGCTTAGAGTTGCAACTCAGAGGCCGGCAAGTCAGGCGGGGAACGTTGGAGTCTGCAGTCACTGGAGGAAGCAAGCCTCATGTTCGCTTCCAGCTGCCTGGCTGCTGGCTGCCATCTTGGCTGACAGTTAATTTGCATAAGGATATGCTGATTAGCCAATGGGAAGGGTAGCGGTCGTACGCCAATTACCATGTTTCTCTTTTATTAGTGTAGAAGAAGATGTCCAGATCAGGAAAATCTTTAGAAGCAGCAGATTTATGATTGTCAGGGGGCTGGAAAAAAGGGAATGGAGAGTTGCTGCTAATGTGTACAGGTTTTTAGAGGATGGGGAGGGAGCATTGATGAAAAAGTTCTGGAATTAGCATGGTGACAGTTGCACAACTTCGTGAATATACTAAAAATCACTGAATTGTACACTTTAAATGGTGAACTTGATAGTGTGTGAAATTTACCTAAAAAACGTAATTATTTTTAAAGTAACATGTAGTACCATAGGTAGTAATATGTACACTCATTTTAATGTATGGTAATTATTTCTAGACTAGACTTCTCTTTGAGAATAATAAATTTGATTTCTCTTGCAGCAACAAAATGGTTCAGCAAGTTCCAGAAAACATCAATTTTCCTGCTGAAGAAGAGAAAATCTTACAGTTCTGGTCCGAATTTAATTGTTTCCAAGAATGCCTAAAGCAGTCAAAACATAGGCCAAAGTATGTGAATTTCTTGGTAAAGATAGAGTCCTTAAGACTAGTCATTTCTTAGACTGTGTTCAATTAAGGCAGGAACTTTTTATTCCAGTGATGGGGAACCTATGACACGCGTGTCAGAGGTGACACGCGAACTCATTTTTTTGGTTGATTTTTCCTTGTTCAATGGCATTTAAATATATAAAATAAATATCAAAAATATAAATCTTTGTTTTACTATGGTTGCAAATATCAAAGAATTCCTCTATGTGACACGGCACCAGAGTTAAGTTAGGGTTTTCAAAATGCTGACACGCCGAGCTCAAAAGGTTCGCCATCACTGTTTTATTCATTTTGTATTCCCAGAGTCTCTAGCTCTATATAGTAGGTACTCTCAGTTGTAGATATACATTGAATGAATGAGTTCTTAATTATTAGGTTAGATTCAGTTTAAGAGTTCTTCTGAATAGATTAACCTGAATGGTCTAATGAAATTCAGATGTTAAAAGCTATTTAAATTTGGACCACTATTGAATAGAGTTTACATATCACACTCTTCCTTTCCACTTTTCTCATTATCACCACCTCATTAATTACTTAGACTAGCCTTCTGTTAGGTTGCCTCCTGCCTATAATCTCCCTTCACCTAACGACCAGTTTTGTTCTGTTTTTAATCATGTGTCTTCTGCTCAAAAACTTTATGAGATAGGCATTTGGTGCCCTATTTTACTGATGAATAGCTTTATCATTTAGCATCAGGATGAATAACCAATGAAGAATGGGTGGCCCAGTGGAGGCCTCTCCAGCTCCCCCATAACTAGCTTTTTTCAAGGCAGGACCTGCAATAAATAATCATTTATCTGAATTTATCCACTCATCTACTGATGGGCTATTTCCAGATCTTAGCTATTGTACTTTGTGCTGCTATGAACATAGGGGTGCATACATTCTTTCTGATTGGTGCTTCAGGTTTCTTAGGATATATTCCTAGAATTGGGATCACAGGGTCAAATGGCAGTTCCATATTTAATTTTTTGAGGGAACTCCATACTGTTTTTCATAATGGCTACACCAGTCTGCATTCCCACCAGCAGTGAACTAGGATTCCCTTTTCTCCACATCCTCTCCAGCACTTGTCATTTGTTGTTTTGTTGATAGTAGCCATTCTGACAGGTATGAAGTGATAGCTCATTGTCATTTTAATTTGCATCTCTCTGATGATCAGTGATTTTGAGCATTTTTAAAAAAATATTTCTTTATTGATTTCAGAGAGGAAGGGAGGAGAGATAGAAACATCAGTTATAATTATGAGAGAGAATCATTGATTGGATGCCTCTTGCACGCCCCCCACTGGGGATCAAGCCTGCAACCCAGGCATGTGCCCTTGCCCGGAATAGAACCTGGGACCCTTCAATCTGCAGGCTGTCGCTCTATCCACTGAGCCAAGCCGGCCAGGGCTTGAGCATTTTTTCATATGTCCACTTTGGTCCACTTTGGAGAAGTGTCTATTTAGGTCCTTTGCCCATTTTTTAATTGGATTGTTTGTCTTCCTTTTGTTAAGTTGTATGAGTTCCTTATGTATTTTGGTTATTAACCCTTTGTCAGATGTACCATTGCCAAATATGTTCTCCCATGCAGTGGGCTTTATTGTTGTTTTGTTGATGGTTTCTTTTGCTGTGCAGAAGCTTTTCATTTTGATGTAGTCCCATTTGTTTATTTTCTCCTTATTTTCCTTTGCCTGAGGAGCTGTATCCATAACCATATTGCTACGAGAGATGTTTGAGATTTTGCTGCCTGTGGTTTCTTCTAGGATTTTTATGGTTTCACTACATACACTTAAGTCCTGTATCCATTTTGAGTTTATTCTTGTGTATGGTGTAAGTTGGTGGTTTAGTTTCATTCTTTTACATGTATCTTTCCAATTGTTCCAACACCATTTATTGAAGAGACTGTCTTGACTCCATTGTATGCTCTTGCCTCCTTTGTCAAATATTAATTGATCGTAATGGCTCGGGGCAATTTCTGGGGTCTCTTTTCTGTTCCATTGGTCTATATGCCTGTTCTTGTGCCCGTATCTTCCTGTTTTGATTATGGTGACTTTGAAGTATAACTTGATATCTGGTATTGCGATTCCTCCAACTTTGTTCTTCTTTCTCAAGATTGCTGAGGATATTTGGGGTCTTTTTGGTTCCATATAAATATTTGGAATATTTGTTCTAGATCTGTGAAATATACAGTTTGTATTTTAATAGGGGTTGCATTGAGTTTGTAGATTGCCTTGGGTAGTATGGACATTTTAATGTTAATTCTACCAATCCATGAACACGGAATACTCTACCACTTGTTTATATCTCCCTTTATCTTTTTTTTCAGTGTTCTGTATCTTTCCAAGTACAAGTCTTTTGCCTCCTTGGTTTATTCCTATGTTATTTTAATATTTTTGTTGCAGTGGTAAATGGGATTGTTTGTTTAGTTTCTCTTTCTGAGAATTCATTATTGGTGTATAAAAAAGCCATAGATTTTTGGTGTTGATTTTGTATTCTGCTACATTGCCAATTTCATGTATTTATCTGAAATCAAAAATTTAAAAAGAAAGCAAAATAGATTTTAGTCACTTTTCTTTTTATTTTTTTAATATATATATATTTTTTAAGTATATTTTTATTGATTTCAGAGAGAAAGGGTGAGGGAGAGATAGAAACATCACTGATGAGAGAGAATCTTTGATGGGCTGTCTTCTGCATGCCACACACTGGGTATGAAGCCCGCAACCCGGGGATGTGCCCTGACCGGGAATTAAACCGTTCCCTCCTGATTCATAGGTCCACGCTCAACAGCTGAGCCACGCCAGCCAGGCACTCACCACTTTTCTTCCTGAACACTCCACTGAGACAGTTGCCATCTATTAAAAAAAGTTGTCCTACATTTTTGTTGTTTATTTTAAAGTAATCACATATTTTTATTCTTCTTGTTAGATTTACTTTCTATGATGGGCCTCCTTTTGCAACTGGACTACCTCACTATGGACATATACTTGCAGGGACAATTAAAGATATAGTTACAAGATATGCTCACCAGAGTGGGTTTCATGTTGACAGAAGATTTGGATGGGATTGTCATGGCTTACCTGTGGTATGTTTGAGTCATCAGCCTTATGTTTTGATTTTTTAATAAGCATTAGATTTCATTATATACTATGTATTAGTATGAATTTTTACTATAATCAGACTTTTTCTTCATTTCTATAATACTATTTATAGTTCATTTTCTCTAGATTTTTTGAGAACTTATTTCAAAATGTTTTATTTTCTAGAGTTCAATTGCATTTTGTTTCAAAGGCAGCGTTGTTAACAATTTTATTGTAAATTTTCAGGAATATGAAATAGATAAGATACTAGGAATCAGAGGACCAGAGGATGTAGCCAAAATGGGGATTGTGGAGTATAACAATCAGTGCCGAGCAATTGTGATGAGATATTCTACTGAGTGGAAGGTATGTTCAGTTATTTTCAGTAGAATGGACCAAAACTTGTAGTTTAAATGGATGTTAAAATGGCTTCTGGTCCTTTGTGCATTTTATGATGCTCCCAAAAGTATGGCTGTCCATGTGAAGTTGTAACTTCAGGTGTCAACCATTCCTTTTTAAAGGAGTGTTTTGCTTCCACCTCCAACCCTAGTACATAGACTAGTTAAACTGAAGCCTCTGTTATTTCTATGTGTTTGATTAATCCTCCATATTTAATCCTTTACCTGCACACAGTATATGACAGGAATCAGGCTGACCTAGCAAATAAGTTAACTTTAATATTGTAAAACAAACAAACAAAAAAATCAAATGTTAAAAACAATTCTAATTTGGACTGATTGTTACATGGACTCCCATCTTGCCCACTCCTTTTAGTGGTGGTGCTCCCACAGCTGGAACCTGTACGTAACTGTCCAGTGCTATCAGAGCTCTGCCCTCTCTTAAGGGCTTAGCAACACAGGTCCTCACCTCCATATTTTCTCCCTGGCCTTTTGATTAATTAGATTGTGCCACTTAACAGCTTTGTTGTATTTTTTTTTTATCTTTGCCATCTTACCACTTTGATTTCCTAAACTTGCTGTTCCTCAGAATTCACTATTCTGCCAGTGGACTCAGGCTTTAAACATTAATCCTCACAATCAAATCTGTCAAATTCTATCAAGTCTTCTTAGCATCTCTTATTCAGTCATTTATTTTCATTCCAACAACCTCTCCCTAGCTTCTCACCTCTTCATTTCGGTAACAATCTCCTAATTGGTCTCTTGCTCATGCTCTTTCCACTCAGCCTGTGAAGTTCTCTCTCCCACAAGACTGTGCTCATCTTGCTCTTCTCTGCTCAAAGCATTGAGTAACTTCTTTTCATTGGTGAATAAAATTTTATTTCATGGACCTAAAATATCAAAGCTTCTAAATTTTCTCCTAACTTTCTTTAATCTAACTTTCCTTGCCTGGTTACCAGTAGGGAAAAATCCTGATTATAACATGTATAGGTCTTCCCCCACCCCCCTTATTTTTAAATTGTTCATTGTGAAATAATTCCGGTTTATTAAAAATTACGAAGTTGTATTAAGAGTTTTCTTTTATCCTTTACTTATTAGCTAACACCTTCAGTAACTATAGTATAATTAACAAAAGCAACTTATTAGAAAAAAATGAACATTGATACATTACATTAGACCTTTTTCAAATTTAACCAGTTCCACTAATTTTTATTTCTGATCCAAAATACAGTTTAGAAGCAGACACTGCATTTAGTTGTCATACCTCCGTAGTCTCCTTTAATCTGGAACATGACCTCTATCTTTTTTGTCATTTATGACCTTGTCACTTTTTTTTAATCTTTTAAAAAGTTTTAAATTTATATTTTAGAAAGGGAGGAACAGCAATTTTTTTATCCATTTATTCATCCACTAGAGGTCCAATGCATGAAGATTCACGCAAGAAAGGCCTTCCGTCCCCTGGCTGCCGGCACCAGCTTCCCTGCGGCACCCAGGACCCAGGCCTTCACTCAGGCTGCCGCCTTCAGCATTTGCTCTGGGCCAGAGCCGCCTTCCATCTTCGCTTCGGCCCTGCCAGCCTCCTGTTGCTCCCTCCACCTCCTGCCCTCTCCCCCATAGCAAGTGTCCCGCCCTGCCCAGGCTGCTCCGTGGGTACTGCCTAGAGTCCTGGAGCGGCCGAGAAGGGGCAGAACACCTGTGTCCCGGCCCAGCCACTGCCATCTTTGTTGCGTCAATTTGCACATTCCCTTCTTATTGGCTGTGGGCGCCGCCATCTTTGTCACAAAGTGACAGTCAATTTGCATATTCCATCTTTATTAGATAGGATTCATTGGTTGGTTCTTGAATGTACTCTGAACCCAAAACCTCTGTGTATCAGATGTGGATGCTCTAATCAAATGAACTACCCAGCCAGAGCTTGCCCTTGTCACTTTTAAATAGTACAAACCAGTTATTTATTTATTTTTAATATATTTTATTGATTTTTTACAGAGAGGAAAGGAGAGGGATAGAGAGTTAGAAACATCGATGAGAGAAACATCGATCAGCTGCCTCCTGCACACTCCCTAGTGGGTATGTGCCCGCAACCAAGGTACATGCCCTTGACTGGAATCGAACGTGGGACCCTTGAGTCCACAGGCTGACGCTTTATCCACTGAGTCAAACTGGTTAGGACCAGACCAGTTATTTTTAAGAAATTCCCTCAATATCTACTGTTTTTTCATGATTCAATTTAGGATTTGCATTTTTGGAAAAAATGTCTCAGAAATGACAGCATACCTTTAGTCTGTCATTAGGAGGCCTGTGATACTGATATGTCTCATTGATTATGTTAACTTTGGTTACTAAGGTGATCTGTGTCAGGTTTCTTTATTGTAAAGTTGGAGTTTTTCCTTTCTAATTAATATTCTGTGGGGAGATTCTTTGCAAATATCCTGTTTCTCATACTTTAACTCAGTAGTTTTAATATCCATTAATGATTCTTGCCAGCAACAGTTATAGCTATAGCTCTTGTTGAATGGTAACTTTGGTAGACTGTAAGGGCATATTGATAACTTGCAAATAACATTTTCATATAGGATGAATGCCAGAAGAATCTGGTGCTTAATCTTACATAGTATGTTGATAGCAATATAGATTTACCTCAATCATTGATTGTTCTGTTTTCCAAAAATCATTACATGTGCTGATAAAGAAGTAAAACACATTGATTTACAATTACAAATATTCTTTAACAACTAATATTTGTATTTTTTTAGTCTACTGTTACCAGACTTGGCCGATGGATTGACTTTGACAATGACTATAAAACACTCTATCCAGAATTCATGGAATCTGTCTGGTAGGTTTATTTGAAATTGTAAATATAATAAATATTTTGTCATGCAGGGGTGGACAAAAATAGCTCTCCGGTTTTTCATATAGAAAATGTAGTAATTAGCCTTGGCTGCATAGGTTAGTTGGTTAGAACATTGTCCTAATGTACCACAGTTTCAGGTTTGATCTTAGTCAGGGCACATACAAGTATTAACCAATGAATGCCTGAATGAGTGAAGCAACAGATTGATATCTCTATCTATCTCTCTAAATTCACTAATTTTAGAAAATAGGAAAAATAGAAAATACAGCAATTAAATAATACAAGAATGAACTGTATTTTGCATACGCATAACTATAAACCTACTTTTGCCCATCGCTGTATTACATAATAGAGTAATGATGGGTTGTTTTGGTGTTTAAAGATTTAAAACTTTTAATTTTTTTTACAGCATTTTTAGGTTCATAGCAAAACTAAGAGCAAGGTACAGACAGTTCCCTTATGCCCTGTGCCCCACACACATTGCCTAGCCCACGGGTGGGCAACCTTTTTGTGAGTGCGTGCCAAAACCAGCAAAATCTCTAACTCAAAATTCTTCTGCGTGCCAACCCTAATTTTTTGAGAACATGTTACACCTACTTGATATCTCTTAAGGTGTGCATATGTGAAGAACCTTGAAATAATAATAAAATTCATTCGAGCAACAAAAACACATTATATGATGATGAAAAATACATTTATTTTTTAATGTATACATGTTATGTAAAATTTTTTATCTAAGATGCACCTACACTGAATTTATCTGAAAAATAAAAAAGTCGATTTTAAGACAAAAATTGTAAATGGAAGATTATAAGAGAGGGTTTCGCGTGCCAGCAAAAGTTACTGGCGTGCCATGTTTGGCACACGTGCCAGGGGTTCCCCACCCCTGGCCTAGCCATTATTATGTTTGTTAATGTAGAACACTATGTTTGTTACAATTGAACCTTCATTGACACAATAATTACCCAAAGTCCACAATGTACTTTAGCTTTCACTCTTTTTGAACATTCTATGCTTTGGGGTAAATGTGTAATGACATGTATGTATCATTTTAGTATACTATAGAGATTTGTCTTTGAGCCCCAGTTTGATAACAGACCATTTATGTTTTTTATTCTACTTAGTGTGAGCAATTGTATGCACTGATGCAGAAATACCAGTATATTTGATTACTGCTTGCTGCACAATCTACTGGGACCATTGTCTACGACGAAATACATAGATATCTTACTATCCAGAATCCAAAATTAACTAAATCCAAAAACTAACCGCTAAAGGACACTAGAATGATAGATGCATGTCATTACACATTTACCCCAAAGCATAGAATGTTCAAAAAGACTGAACACTAAAGTAAACTATGGACTTTAGGTAAAGATGTAGAGAAAGGGAAGCCTTATGCATTGTTGGTGGGATTGGAAATTGGTGTAGCCAGTGTGGAAAACAGTATGGAGGTTCCTAAAAAAAATTGAAGATAGAACTATCTTATGAACCAGCAATTCCCCTTCTGGGTATTTAGCCGAAGAAATCCTAAACATTAATTTGAGAAGATACATGCATGCCTCTGTTCATTGCAGTGTTATTTACAATTAGAGGCCCGGTGCATGAAATTTTGTGCACTGGGCGGTTCCCTCAGCCCGGCCTGCGTCCTCTTGTACTCTGGGACCCCTCGCTCCTCACCGCCTGCCTGCAGCGGAGGTGGGAGAGGCTTCTGCAACAGCCGCTACACTCGCCAGCTGTGAGCCCAGTTTCTGGCTGAGTGGGGCGCAACTCGGCCAGAAGCTGAGCTCACTTCTCTTTAGCGCTGCCTCAGAGGCAGGTCTCCTGCCACCACCCCTGCACTTGCCAGCCGTGACCCCATCTTCTGGCTGAGTGGCGCTCCCCTGGTGGTCAGTGTGCGTCATAGCAACCGGTTGTTCTGCTGTTCAGTCGATTTGCATATTAGGGTTTTATTATATAGGATAGCAAAAGTATAGAAGCAACCTAACTGTCCTTTAATAGACAAGTGGGTAAAGAAGATGTGATCCTTATGTACAAGGACATATTACTCAGCCATTAAGAAAAACAAATAAGATCTTACCATTTTGTCAACATGGATGGACTTAGAAGACATTATGGTAAGTGAAATAAATCAGAGAAAGAAATTCTATCTAATAAAGAGGGGATATGCTAATTGACCCTCACGCCGTTGCGACATGGTGGTGCCCACAGCCAATAAGGAGGGATATGTTGACTGCCCCACCCTCAAAGATGGCGGTGACTACAGCATTAAGAAGGGGATGTGCTAATTGGCCCTCACACCATCAAAATATGGTGACGCCCACAGCCAATAAGGAGGGAATATGCTAATTGACTGCCCCGCCCTCAAAGATGGCAGCGCTCACCCCCGTCGGGGCGGCAGGCATGCAGCAAGGCCTGCCTCTAGAGTCCCCCAGTCCCCTCAGCACCCCTAGCCGCCCAGGGCCGGCCCAATGCGCAGGTAACCAGTGCTGGCTGAGGCTATGATGGGGTGTCGCCTTACCCTGATTGCTGGGTTGCCTCCTGCCCCTGAGGGCTCCCAGACTGTGAGAGGGTGCAGACCGGGCTGAGGGACCACCCCTCCAGTGCATGAATTTTCATTAACCAAGCCTCTAGTATACCATATGATTTCACTTATATGTGGAATCTAAAGGACAAAATATGTCAACAAACTCATAGATAAACAGAACAACCTGGTGGTTGCTAGATGGGAAAGGGAATAGGAGGCTGGGTGAAAGGGTGAAGAGATTAATTGGTAGTTAACAAAAAATAGCAATGTAAAGTATAGAATATGGAATATAGTCAATAATATTACAATAACTGGTGCAGAATGGGCACTAGACTTAAAGGGGTGGGAGGTCACTTCATAAGTTATAGAAATGTATTACCACCATGTTGTACACCTGAAACTAATAAAATAATATGTCAGTTGTAATTGAAAATAAATTTAAAAGAAATATCAGTTAAAGATATTTGCCAAATTGATTGGTATAACATTTAGGGAAACTAGTTTCAGAGGTTTGGTTTTTTTTAAGGAATTAAGTCTATGAGGCTATGTACTTGAATTTTATACTGAGAGAAAAGTTGAGCGCAGTTCTATGCCATAACTGTTTCAAAATGGATTTTACTTATCACCCTAATCCTATCTAATAATAGACAAACATGGTAATTAACCGTAACTTCGTTACCCTTCCCATTGGCTAATCAGCGAGATATGCAAATTAACTGCCGACCAAGATGGCGGCCAGCAGCCAGGCAGCTGAAGCGAACAGGAGGCTTGCT